TATTGCAGAATCACCACCTAAATACTGAACAACAAAAGCTCAATCCCTCAACAAAATAGCGTGTGCCCAATAAGTTAATATTCTGAAGACTCTGGCTGGACCTGCTCATTAAATCAGTTAAATGAAGTGAGAGAGGGGGAATCAGAGTGAACCAAACGGAAAAAAGCCCTTAAAACCATTTCCTGTGATTTGGGTAACATGTAGGAAAGTCAGAGGCACACTATTTGTATTTGTTGCTCCTGTTCGTATACGTATTCATCTTTTTTTTTCATTTTGGTAGCCCGAACATTTTTCTTTACTTTATAGCTTTGCTCCTTCCAGTTTCTCTCATGATTGCTGGGTCAGTAACTTGACGGTGGACTGGGTCAGGGGGCGCAGTCGGGTTTTGTCCACCAGCTTTGGGTTGTGAAGGCTAATGCCTCCTGACACTCTCAGCTCCATCAGTCTCGGCCGCATCATTCTAGTAATGCAGAAGTCATCAGGGCCTGGGATTGCGTGAGGGCTTTCATCTGGAAACCCAAACAACCTTAACCTCATTGAATTCCTGTTGAAGAATGAAAAGATTAATGAATGGATTAATTGCTTCTTTGTCTGATTGGATTACATAATTTAGTTTGGGATTGATTTGTTTTGGGATAAATATCTCCAAGATGTTCCCATATAATGATCTGAAATATATGAAATATTCACTTGTATTTGCTCATGTTTAAGTCCATAAACATACACCACCTAAAGTGCACAGGAGATGTTGTAAATGATGTTCAAAGGCCAAAGTTTAATCTGGATAGTGTGGCCTCTTTAGCTGGTGTGCTGGTCTTTTCCAACCATACTCCACTTCCTTTACAGGCACTCAACTGAATTGTTGCTTAACCTGTGCAGTGACCCTGCCACATGCTATCTGCATCCCTCTATCCCAGATCCACCACTACACCATTCCCGTTGTGGGCAAGGGTTTTGCTATGCGTCAACCAGAGACACAGACTCGCAAAGGGAAATCCATAAACCCTGTGTTAGGGCAGAGAAAAAAAGTCAGCACCAGTGCTTACTCATCTGTTAAAAACGGAGTGATCTGCAAAGTTTGTATGAGAGGGGTTTTGACGGTGCCCTGCTGCTTTGTCAGTGCAGCACATGCTGCAGGCACTGGCATCCCCTATTGCCTTCCAGGTCATTGGCCAGGCGCAGCAGGCGGTGGGCTTCCAGCCCCATGACACGTCCCTGATTCACAGCTGGATCCGTAACAAGGTATCATAGCAAATGAGTCGGTAAAACATCACTGGTTCGAAAAGCGTGAAAAATTGTCATGATATCATTTGTAATTCCCGATCTGGACTGCTATTGGTAGGAGAAAGAGACCGAGAGTGAGAGAGAGAGCACTGGTAATGAAGGGGTTTTATTCCTCTTCACCATCTCAACCAGTCTCAGCTCCTCTCATCCACAGCACCCCACAGCCTGACCCCCAAACCGATGCCTGAGGTGGGATATCCAAGCTAATGTAAGGAGGCAATAATTAAACATCTCGTGATTCTCAGCCAAGTGTCTTAAAGGTGTTGGACTCTTAACATGAGAGCTTTATGACACATTGTCCGGTTCTTGAATGTGAATTTTTTCCTCATTACACATGACTTAAGAGTGGTTGTAATGTGTCAGATTGGGCCTCCCCTGGTGTGTTGCAGTGATAGTCATGATGTTTGGGAAGATTGGGTAAATTAGAAGTTGCTCTTGGAAATGTTACAGCTGCTGACAATGATTCATGGACCTTTCTGGAAAAAATAACTGGAAGAAAATATCAACATTAAAAGTGGGGTAGGTAAGTTTGAGAAACCGGCTCGAGATACACTTTTTGTTATATTCCATGGAATGCTCTTAACATCCCGATAGCAATGAATATCTTAAGTGCTTTGACAAAAAATCTATAAAAAAATGTCATCTGTGGAAGCCGTAGTACTGTAAAAAGCACGACCAATCATTTGAGCCGGGCCGGCTAAAATAACTGGATGGCCTACCTGCCTGTCAGCCTTTCATCTGTGCACAAACTTATCTCGTGCCCTCATTGGTCATGTGCGCGTTCGTGTGTGTTGGAGGAGGGGCTCTGTAAGGAAGTGGCAGATTTTTTCCGGCTGTGTATTTTCAAATTCTAGCCCACTCGAGCTGGTTTCTCCAAAATTACCTACCCCACCTTTAAATACAGTATAACTTATATTTAATTGTTTTTAAAGGTAGACAGACATCATTTATATATATATTATATATTATATCAAAATATGTAATCATCTCTTCCCTTTTCTTTAATAAAAGGTAATACTTCAAAAAAAGTACTTATAAGATATTTTAAGATGTCCATTGTTTTATTGCAAACCTGTGTCATTGCCATTACACACAATCTTATTAGTGAACAGTTAATTGGTCAAACTTGATATTAAAAAGAGGAGAGGAATATCCAAAGAGGAAATCAATGTGAGATCATAAAAATTACATAAACCATGCCATGTATTATGCAATAAAATTAGATACATAAGCCCTTATGATCTTTAACCTTTGTGTGTTACGAGTGCAGTTGGCTGTGAGGCTGTGTGCGGGTTTGATGGATGCAAAGAATGGACAAACATCAGCTCCCTCTAAAACCACAATGGAGACCTTGGATCTAAATGTCATGGTTTCATAACGGATACACTGACATTTGTGTGATGGGATTTAGCCATGGGTTAATATAGCCATTGCTGGCACACCGCATTGATGTCCATCTCACTCGGGCTGTGAAGTCTATCTCACTATTTTTTTTTTTTTGGTGCCCTCACTGAAGTTTCTTTCAAAGGGATGCATTGGATTCTATGCTGGTTAAAGCCAATTATTTAATCAGAAAAAAACTGTTTGATATGTAGGTTTGTTTTATATGATGTTAATGTGCCTCAGGAGCGGTTCGGATCATTCTTTTTTGTTGAGTGTTGGGCTCGGGTGGGGGCTGCTGGGGAAGGCAGGCGATCAGCATTAAAATCAGAGCCATGTAAATCTAATCAATTATACAGTTTTTCAGATAAAATGTTGGTAAATCAAAACACATTTTCCAAAAGTCACAGTATAATGAGAAATTTAAATTGGAAACAGAAACCATTTGTTTATTATAAATGCCAGGGTGAGGTGGTGACTTGCCATCCATAAATTTCGTTATCCTTTCATATTCCTTTTATCTATGACTACAGCTTTGGCACTCATTCAAGATTTTAATGAACCCAGACTTCTGAGGCATCCAGGCCTAGTGATGCATTGTCCATTTGGATCAGGGAGTACAGAGGGGGGACAAAGGCGAAAAGCTCTTGCCTTTGACATAATATTTTATATTCTATTGCCTTACAGGGGGGTCATTAGGTGATTGCAACATTTAACAACATAACAGATTGACAAGAATAAACACATATTCAGCATATATTTTAAATTAACAACCAGATTGATGAATGTGTGTGTCTGTCTGTGCATGTGGCAAGGGGTGACTTGAATCAAAACATAATTTTCTGTGCTTTATGAGGATACAGAGAACCCCCCTGCTCTGGCGCGACCTGGTGTCGGCTGCTTTCTTGGGCTCAGAGGTTCCTAGGGGAGACCAGAATGGAAGTTGAGCATCCTACTGTGATCCAAAGAAAGTGTGCCAAATGCTATCAAAACTGGATTAGTAGACAACAATTGTGTTCGATGAACTGAAGGGGGAGGGAAATAAGTAGTTTCTAAGTAACCCATGGATGGAATTTTCCAACTCCATTGCATTTTTTATCCCATGTTTTATCCCATGGATGCCCGAATAAGCTCCCTTTGTTTGGGGATCAAATATATATTCAAAAAGAAAACATCCAAGTTTCCATGTTTCTGTCATTTACGTACCTTTCTTTTTTAGGTGTAATGGGCCTTTGCATTAGAGGAAAAAAACGTATATTAAGAATATATTTTATCTGTTAAATGACCTGGGGAGTGTAAATATTCACATTCAATTGGTGGTTCATAGGCTTTCTTTAAAATGAAAGCGCAATGCGAACCCATTAAAACATGTTCCGACTCATGTCTCATGTAAATTCAATCGTTTGGGAAAGAAAAAAAGAAAGTATAGCAGCCAAAAAAAGGTTTTTTTCGTTAAGGTTGATTGACCACTCCTTTTTATTCAGTGACCTTTTGGGTGGTTCCAGACCAAGAAATACAAGCCACTTGTGAGTTCAAATAATTTACAAATAAATCAGATTTCTGGTCTCTGGAAAAATTGGAAAACTACAGTTGCTTTTATAAATTAACAACACTTTTTATTTAGCTTTGTCATGATCTCTAAAGCCAAGGAAGGCCATTTCCAAAAAAAATGCAAGACAAAGAAAGGGTCATCGTGGACTTTTTCCTCTTTTTTTTCTATTCCGAAGTGTACCACCTTATAAATGTGTCTCTACAACCTACATCAAGTAAGTTTAGCAGCACATTTACATTTTGAAAACACCCAAAGCCCAATGGCTGTCCCCTGAATGCTGACATTTGGAGCAAATCCCCTGCTGACTTAATCGTGGCAAATATTGCGTGTCATTTGTGCACAACACTCGGACCTTGCTGATGTTAGTAGTAGTAATTCACCACTGCTGTGAGGGAGAACTCCTGGGGTGACGTGACTTGTGCTCAAAATATCCCTTTCCCTTTATTCCTCTCTCCTATTTCTCTACGTCTCAAGCTTGTCTCTGTCTTTTCTGTCTAGCAGGAACCAGTGTTTTTGTATATAACTATAACTTTCATTCAAAGTCATTTTTTATTATTTATTTTAAATTATCTTGCAATTTTTTTATAGTTTTATTTTATTTAAACTAATCTGATAAATTCCCTCTGAACATAAATACCATCCTCTGCCCTTCTTCTCCTTCTCCTCCCAAAAGGACCATCCCACTATGGTCGCTGTTTACCTTCCCATGTGCGAAGAGTCCTCCATGACCCCGCCCCTCTTCATGCTTTGACCAATCACAAAGCTCATTCCGAACGAGGCAAATATTTGTGCAGCCAATTGCTGCTTGCTCTGTTAACGCGTCATCGAAAGAAACATGGCGGCGCGCATTACCAGGGCTGTGAAACGACTTCTTCCAAAGTAAGTCAGCTATGTTCTTTAATATCTCTTTCTGCTAAATGTGCTACGTCTCTTGAGGTAAAACTCACACCGGAAATGTAACGCTGCTTATTTTGGTCGATGAATTGTCCTCGTTGTTACGGTAGAAGCTGTCGGTTAAATGCCACTTGTTTTGTTGGCTGTTAGCTAACTTATGTGTTTGCTAAGAGCTTAGAAAAGCTGTACATGTGCACACAGACTGTGTTTACAACCTTTGCTTACGAAGATAAAACTACTAGGATACATGTCTGTGTAATGTGATGAAATGGCGATGAATAAATAGAAGCGTTAAGGTAATTGAAGCCAAAAACACACAGGGCTATACACAGTGCCAGTGTATGAGTTTGGCATTCAAACGGTTACATGTAGCTTTTCATTCTTTGGATGTCACCTTGTAGTTTGCTGTTTTGAGTGTGTGAATGTCTCGCTGTTGCTCTGCTATTGTGTACTTTGATGTTGAAGTAGGCGCTTTGCTTTGTGTTCTGTTGTGTCTCCATCTTGATTTAAGTGTAATTGTTTGATGGAAAAAGTTTGAGACTTTCTGTTGTCTCAATGTCATGTTCAAGTGTCAAACGTTTGTCTGCTAGTGCTACAGTAACACATATGTGAGTGCTAATCAATAGGGTAGCCTGTACTAAACAGGCCTCTACAATGGAGGTCACCTCGGCACAATTTTAAAGGAATAGTTTTGAGAAATGTGCTTATTTGCTTACTCTTAATAATAATGAATAATAAGGAAAGCAATAGCACTGGCCTGTCTGTGCAAGGTGCTTAGCTTTGTTTATTTAGAACAGGAAGCATGGGGGAACAGTCAGCCTGATTCTCTCCTAGGTTTATAAATAACCTTCCAGCAGCTCTTAAAGCTTATTCATTCACACATTGTATCTAGTGTGTTTATTACACACTGTCAGAAAATACAACTATTCGTAGTTTTAGTTGGACTTCTGTTCTGGAAATCTCTCTTTTCCACCCAGCCAGTACTTCTGTGCAGGGCATCTTCAGCTTTCCTCTGGTGTCCTGTAACGGCAACCTTACTGCAATGACAAGGCAGTCCCTGCACCTGACTGCCATTTTAATGTCTGACTGCATGATTATGATATCACTAAAGTCATTGGTTAAACCTTATCTTATAAAGCCTCTGAGGCAAACATTTCTGTACTTTCTTTTTAACTCCACATGCATTGTCAACTTGCTGAAAAGGTATTTTGCCTGTGTTTTATATATATACACAGTTGACATGCATAGTTAAAACTAATGCAGGTAATTGATTAGTCCAGCAATAAATCCACTATTAATAATGCAATGAATCCATCATGCTGATCACAAGTGAGTCTCTCATGGCAGTCACCCAGTTTGCTGGTTACTTCTAAACATCTTCACATCCCTCGTTGAAACTTAGTAAAGTGCTCAAGAGTTGGTCAAGCAATCGTTGTTGTTCCAATATAGAAAACCGTCTTATCTCTTGGCACACCCACGCATTTCCAGCCATCTGAACTGGTAACATTGTTGACACAATCTTTCCTGTTGACAGTATCTATTGTTTGCTTTGCGTAATTTCAATTAGATAAATCCACGCAGCTGGATTGGCAAAAATAATCCAGTATTAAATACACAATGGTCTAATACATCTCAGTTGTTGGGGAATAGTCAGTATAAACACTATTGCAAACTCAGAAAGGAAACAAAGGAATAGATGCTCACAGTCATAGCCAAATAATATTTTCAAAAGTAGAATCCAGGGTTTTGTTAACTAAAGTCGTATTAAGGATTATAAATCAGGATGTAGCCTTTCAATGGTTCAAAGTTGGCCATATTTTTCTGCAAGGCCCACACTTTATTGAAGTGCAATATTAATGAACTGGTCTACTCCTTAACGAATACAGTAATGACATAATAGTCTTACATAATGGAATTCAGTGACAGATGGTTAGCAGTCAAAGCTGCCCAATGCTCCTCTATCTTTTTTGGAAGTGTCACTGAAGTCCCATAGAAGCTATAATGGGAAACTTCTGACAGTTTGAATGTCAGTCACAAAAAACTTAATGTGAGTTTATCAGTCTAGTAATGTGTCTGTCTATACAGGTCAACTGTATTGTGACATGTGGCTCTAATTCAAGACGCATGCATTTCCAGAGGCATAAACCTGATGATCCTGCTAAATCAGAGTGTGAAGTGACTGTCACGCCAGTGTGTGTGTGTCTTTATCTATTAGAGCCTATGGTGATGGCCTTAATTAGAAATGAATACATCCTTGGTGTTTCCTTTTTTACTTAACATCTGGCATTTTTCTTGTAGGGTTTTAAATCATTCTATTAAAGTGCACCTATCATGCTATTTTTAGGCAATAGCATAGGTCTCAGATATATAATAACAAATATAAAAAACATTTCTCTGAAGTGTTTTGCTCAAAATACCAAACAGATCACCCATTCTAGCCATGCCTCATATCCCTCTATTTCACTTCCTGTTTCAAAAGTGCTGATTTGGGGTATTAAGAAATACATTTGATTTTTTTTTTAAAGGAGGGGGCTGAGCTCATGCGGGACCCGGCAGCTACTGTCCAAACTAAATACTGCCGTGATGAAACGCCATATCATGGATTATCAAGGATTATTTCTGAAACAGTATGGAGCTCAAAGGCTTTCTCTCTTGCCGGTTATACCACAATGTGAGTTCCTTTTTATTTCCTGCTTCTTCACACACATGCTCTCCAGTACAGGTTAGCTCTGAGTGTTAGCGATGCTAATGTAAACATGCACCGACCATATTACGTCCAAAACAGTCGGGCATTGTTTCTGATAGCAACGTTTCTGATAGGGGCGTGGGTGTAAAGCCAGCCTACATTTCCGATATTACGTCATATCGGACGCAAGTCTGGATCAGCTCCGTTGTAGCACCGTTTTTAGAGATTTGGGTACGGAGGAAAAGAGAGGGTTTTATTTTCTGACGCTGCGTGAGTTCCCCGACACACCGGGGACACATATTTATGTATAAAAGACATCAAAAAGTGCTTTTTGCATGATAGGTCCCCTTAAACTATCTTTCTGTTTTTTGAGAATGTGTTTATGATATGTCTAGACTTGCATAAGCATATAAAAAGTTGTAATCGTTTTATATGGTATTTATATTTAATTCTGGCTGGTGTTTCTGGGAGGCAGTCTCTACATGGTTAAAGGCTGGGAGTAGGAGAGGAATGTGTGCTTGTTTTATGGACAGCCTAGAGCCCTCATGCTGGCATTGGCGGCAGACTGCTCTTTGTCACAAACACCCTCGTGTCAAAGATGCAACAGCATCCTGGAGGAAGCATTGGCTGCCGCTATGAAGTCGACAAGTGATGAAAGTAGCCTAGAGGTTGTCAATTAAGAGAGCCAAGGCCTGGACCTTATAAGTTAATGGGCAGTTTCCCCTCCCAGGGCCTGCTAGGGCTTTATAGCACAGCTTATAAAAAACCAGAGTGTAATGCACCCCTATAACGTTTTCAATTAAGAGAAAGGGCATAAAGCAGTGCAGACACTTGGCAGGCATGCTAGAATGTTTATAAAGTGGCATTTGGCATAAATTGGGATGAGAATTTTCAATTGCCCTAGTTGTTTTAAAGCAGCAGCTACTGTGCATAATTTTATTTTGATTGCACTTCATGCTGACTGGAAGCATTACAGACTTCCTGGTGTCTTCCCATTACCAGCTCTTTCAGCTCGGTCATATGGATGCACAGCCTGAAGTTTAAAGCTATGTCTTCTCAGCTGTAAAAGAGATTGGAAGCAGGGCAAAATGTTGCTATATGTTACACGCTTTTTATTTTATTGTCATTAAATATAATGTTATTTTAAACTCAATTTAAATTGCATGTAAAACTACATACAATGTGTCAGATTTATTATTTGTTAACATAATTGGCTCACCAAATCCCTTGTTTGTAATGTTAATAAAAAATAAGCAATCATTTGAAATCCCTTCACTCATCTGGTGTCTTCTGTGGTCGAGCTATAGCCTCGGCTTCCGGTAGATAAATAAATGAGTGTTGAATAAACACCAGTGTGTTGACACCTCATTTCCTCATTGATTGGTGGTGGAAGCCGAGCTCGAGGTGTGTGTGGCCATAATCCAATCAAGCAGGAAAACAACCATGGGGACTGTGTAACCAAATTCTTCAGCGAGGGAGGGCGAGCAGGTTGGCCAAGTAACCCCAAAGCCTATGCTCTTTGCCTTTCTTGAACTGTGTAATGGTTTACGTAATCGTTTTACAGACACATTCTTGGCCATTGCTTAATGGTACCGAAGTCTGAGATATCTTTAGAGAAATATGAGCTCCCTTTATTTTCCCCTTAGCCTTTTTATGTACACTATTCTTTACAAGCCAAATTAAACATTAGAATAATACATGATGGGGTTTAAGTAAACAAGATGGACAACCGGATATCACTGCCTGTGTATTCCTCATCGGTTTCCGCAGAGGTATTCTTTTTACTTTTTGGAGCCAATGAATTAATAAATGGCCCTATTACCTGTTGTTGACCCAGCTAGTCTTGCCTTTGAAATCTGTTACAGAGTATTAAGTTAACACATGTTGCTGTGTGAAAACAAAGCTCTGGCGGCCAGCTGAGTAAACGTGTGTGAGGCAGAGAAGAGAGGCCTACACTTGTCCCAGCGCTCACCAAAGGTGGATCCATACGGCCAACAGATGGATATGTTACCCTCTATCCCCATAGTAAAAAAAACCAACCAAAACAAGTGTCTCCGCTCTGGCACTGAAGCCTTTGATCAGCAGCACATCTTTGGCTTCAGAGTAGGACTTCTTCTGGACCCCAAGACACACATGGAATCGCATCTGTATAAACACGGACGGGGAGGAATGTGTGAACAATGCAACAAAAGAATTTTGTTCTCGAAAACGTGGGGTGGACTTGGCTCACGAGTGGTTTATGTGGTTAAGCGTTTAAGCGTGGTGGTAGTATTGAATTAGAATCTGGGGAAATGTTCTC